TACCTGATTTGATATAGCTCTTGAAGTGATGCTATCTCTGTTTCAAATTAAAGATTTTACTCCTGTTTCCATGGTTTTATGTTCGTTTTCAGTTTTTTTATTTAAATGAGTGAATTAGCTGAAACAATACTTACGAATAGATATATACATGCCATTTCGTAGTATACATCATTCGTCAGCCTTCGGCTTCAGCCCTTTAACGACTTCACCTCTCGTTTGTCCATTGCTCTAGAAGCTGCTTCATTAGCTGTTGTAGTAGCGTCTCTTGCTGTACTCGCTATTGCAGCTAAAGTCAACTTAAGTCTATCGCATCCATTTACTCGCATTTTTGTGTCACATTATCTACAAGCTACTTTATCGATTGCTTCTATTGTATAATTAGACTCTCGTGCTCTTGTTTATTCTTTTCACTGCCCCGATGTTGCTATGACATTTAAGGTATAGCCATCTTTGTTTAGCTACTGTCAGAGTCCAATAATATAACTTCGCAGCTTTTGAAGATAAGTTCTTATAATCTTAGAGATCCGATACACATTCGGCTAACATAATTTACAGGCCTTCTTATTTTAAATAAGGTGTCATGCATTTGTTCAAAACTTGCTTTCGAGATATTTGCTCCTACGGATCTATGCACATGTGGTTTATTTGAAAATAATTATATTCTAAGTTGAAGTCTAAAGCTTACAAATAATTTCCTAAAAGGTATCATTTGAAATAGGCTTGTGTATCTCGCTCCGCTGTGCTCTACTTATTGATATTATTATTTGGCTTTTAATCACGGATTATCATCGCATATAAATTCAACTGTTAATTTTGTTTTTCTCTTTTTTTCATATCAGCGTATATCTTCTTATGAATTAGTGCTAGAAAATAGGAATTTTCTGATAACCATTTTTGTTCGCTCATTACCTTACTCGCCATTTTGTATTTCTATTGGTCAAAAATACCATCACAAAATGCTCTTATATTTTACACAGATCAATATCCTAGGCGCCATTTGGCTTCTTCACCTTGGTTGATGTTTACTTTATTGAATTTCTTCATAGAATTTACGAAGTTGTGTGCGTTAATCGGATTTTTTTAATATTATATAGATTAGACATGCTTTTGGACTGACAAATAAAAATAATTCCATATACCGTCATAATTGCACAGTAGATTTCCTATTTAGATCCGTAGCAATCACTAGTAAAAGAATGAAAACAAACAGAATTAATATGCAAAATATTTAAGATATGAAGCACCCATCTGACCAGAAAGATGTACGCATTTACAGCTTTTTATTTAATAGGTAAACCTTTAAATTGGTTTTGTCGCGGTGATGATGGCTGCAGCAACGTGCTAGGCAAACCAAGGAGTTTTAGCATTAGTAATGGTTGGGTTCGCTCATTGCAAACACAAGTTGCTTAATCGAAGATTTAAAGATCAAGATGGTGTGGCCATCTGTATGGTCGTAGTCTCTTTTCGGTGTGTAGAAGGGGGTTGACTTGGTCTTGTTGTCAGGGCGACTTAGTTGGAATCACTTTGTCCCAAGTACTTTGCCATAGTAGTTATCATAATTCTCAGCGTCAAACTGTGGACTTAATACGTTCTCAGACGTTTTGCTGGCATCGTGAGTAAGTCTTGCCATTCTCAGCACTAATCTACAACTCATCAAAGAGATGAGAGATTTTCTTCTTGGTGATGAGAATGGCAAGACTCACTGATGATGCCGGCGAAACGTATAGGAATGTACCAAGTCAGCGGTCTGACGCTGGGAATTATAACTACTATGGCAGATGACTTCGGACAAGGTGCATCTAACTAAGTTGCTCTGACAATTAGACTAAGTTGCGAAAGCGAGGTCACCCCACCTCTATAAATTGCTTACTTCACCATTTATTATCTATTTTTCATTCATGTCATGATGACTGTTATTTTGGCAACACCAGGCATGCCATGCGCGGTGAAGAAGGATTGGTGGTATTTACACTTTTCCTGGCATTATTTATAAGTAGCCAAGAATCTGGGGCAAACTCAAAGTAAATTTACATTCCAGTGTAAGGCTCATAACGTCTAACTTAAGTTCGACTGGCCTTGTTTGGATTCCAGATATTTATTAGCCAGGAATAAAGCTCCATACAGTTTCATAAATTGATTGAATTACTTTATAGCGACTTTCAAGCATTGTTTTCTCCATTTTTGCACCTATTCAGGGTCTCCACCTATGGGACTTAAATGCCGGCGCAATAATTCAGCGTTTTATGGGCTTAAAACAAGATACCTTCAGACTCCATTCGACATTTGGAGGTGTTAATGATGATTTTGTCGCTAGTGGTAGTGAAGGTTTGTTTCATTTTTATGTATTTTTTTCTTCCAGTGGAATCTTGATCAATTTTTATATCAGCTTTTGAACTCTAAAATTTACTCTCCATATTGCTTTTTATAATTGAATATTCTTTGAGTTACCATTCTCCAGAAATAGTGATTTCTTGTCAGCGAATACTTTTTGAATATATAAAAGCAATATATAAAATTATAAGATTTAGCCCAGTTTTGCCATTAACTTTTCTTTTTGACATGACGAGTGGACCATTTATCTAGCTGTCTTTTATTTATACTTCAACTATTCGTCGACAAAGTAGCCTGATCACATTTCTTAATAAGGTCATATAGGTCTTATTTGTTTCATAGGCTAAAAATGTAGACAGAAGAATCGACACATCTACAGGTAAATTCAATTTCTTCCATCCTATTTTGTTTAAAACTAGCTAAAAAATAATTTAGAAGTTATTAATTCGTGGCTAAGAGGAATTTTACATCAGATGTAATGTACCAACAATCCTTAGATTGGCTTTCAAAGGTTATTTGTTTAACTGCATTAAACAGTCCATAGTACACGTCCTATCGCTAACCAACTTGTATATTCAATTGTCTTTTCAAGCATGGTCTTTTTGTATTCATTCCTTATCAATTCACGTTGCAGTTAGCTGATTTAAATTTTATCCTCATGCGAGTGATTGGTTGATATTCGAATTGGATTGTATATCCTCAAAACTTTTCAGACTTGGAGAAGGAAAATTGATAGAACGATAGTTAGACATTTCTTAGTGAATCAAAAGTACTCATTTATGACAACCCACTTTGTTTTTTATTTTTCCTTTTTAAGTAGGGTTTCGATAATACTAGTAAATCAGTTATATGAGATGTATTCGCTCTATTTTATTTAAAGCGATAAAGGACTGGTTGTTGAATTTCCCCGCGATGATATGACTTAAGTTGACGCTTCCATTGAATTTCACGCACCCTTCATGTTTCTAAAGGTGTTCGCATCCTTTTTAGCAAAGCAAGGCTATGTGAAATTTAATGGAAGTGTCATCTCAACTCATATCATTGTGCGAAAATTCACTTTCCAGTCCTTCATCATCTTTAACGAAATTGTGTGAAAACATCGCATTTTATTATTATGAAACTAATTACTCTTAGAGACTTCGTTAGTCAATTTTTCTTATTAATCTTATTTACTTATTAATTTATAACATAAGATTGGCAGAATGTTTATATATTTGTTTTTTTATTTCGTATCCGTCCTTCACGGTTGACTTTTTTGGGCTTATGCCGCTTTATTCAATAGCCATATTACGTCGCTAAGCGCCCATCAATGCTTTTGTCTTGTTAGAGGATCTTTGCTAATATACACTTGCTTTTGCTCCCCTCTCATACTTCCGAAAGTATCTCATACAATAATAGCTAACATTATTAAAGAGACTTCCATTTCGTATGAAGGTACATGGTGAACAGATACATTGGTTGATCTCATCGGACGATGATGGCATATTCCCGTTGTTCTGCAACCGTTTGGCTTAAAAACGAAGTTCAGGTTGACACAATTTACAAAAAATCTCTTGTTTAGGGTTAAATGGGAGGACGTATCGAGGACCGCGTCAACATGAGCATCATATTGAGGCTAAAAGGCCGTCGTGTTTTGATGAGATCAACCAACGAATCTATTTAGTATGCACTTTCATATATAATAAAATTCTTCCTAAAAATATTATTTTAAGAGATTCATTGAAACTCATTTATCTTCGTTTCTACGATAATATGTAACTACATATTAGTCTCTTATTACATTAACGCTTTGTAATATTTAATATTCTTAGTTTTATTTGAACCCTCGTTTATCTTTTATATATTTCCTTAGTTGTTCTGATTCAGGTTCATCAAAATTGGTTACTCCACTTAACCTATCATTTTTTATTATTATGCACCTCATCTGCACACCTTTCTGTCCTTAGTTTAATTTACGAGTCTTACTTCTTTTACAGATGGTTTTGTTCATATCTGGCGAATTGTCTCTGGCAGCCACCCTATCCGATCTTCCGAGAGTCACTCTGGCAGGGGTCCAGTGACCTGTGTTACTTGGAACCCGTGTCTACCCACAATGATCGCTTCAGTTAACGATGATGGCGAGCTTGTCATTTGGGCGCCTCATAGTAAGTCGTTTACCGCTTTATTCTAGCCTTTCCGATCATGCTAGTACGGTATTGCTTGTAGCCAATTTTTTTCGGATGCTTCTCCCCAATTCGCCTCCGTAGCATTGATACTAATCTCTATATATGGGTATTTTTTGATTACACGTGCATGTTTTAGCACCCTAATCAATAAATGTATTCATGTGGGGGCGGTAAGGTAGATGTAAAATATTATTTTGAAAAATTATTTTAATTTTTTGCCGCAACCTTTTTACTTATATATTTATAACTTATTCGACCTTGTAAACTGACACATTTCGAACAGAAATTTCCCGTACTTATTAGCCTCTGTATTCCTAATTTTTATATTCCAATTATTTACCTTGAATAATTGGAATGTGTTGTGTTCCTTGATACTCTGCTCAAAAATGCCAATTAATGGCATATTCGGATCGTCTGTATTGGGATTATTATTACCATTGTTTAATATTTCTTTTTCTCCCCTCCTTTTCTGCAGGATACGTTCCCGAACGTATGCGTGGACAATCGCTCTAAGTGGCACCGGCCAATATCGAGTTCGACTTGACGCTTTTCACTTATATTCGGGCATATTTTGTTTTCTTGCATATTTCATTATTCCAAGAACTCTCTTCCCAACATTCCCGTTTACTCTATACCTAATCTCAATTACACATAGGGGCACATTCATTATCAATTTTGGAAGTTTCTATGATGCATCATAATCTTTCATCTTTATACGATTGCTTCCGACCTTTTGTGCATCTTTGTGTATGCGTGTTTATATTTCATTTTAAGTTCCATAACGTGCTCTACTACTGTATTTTATGGTTGTCACTTGTATCTTTACCTGATATGTTTTTGGCTTGTCAACTTATTTAAATTGTTTGCACTAATTGAAATCTTTGTAGATCTA